TCTTGTGAATTTTCTTCGTTACGCGAATTGTATATTTCGGAAATCAGAAAATCATCCCTTTCATTATATCAGTTCTAGCTGGAAACTCTGTTGATTAATGTTTGATCGATTTTACTTTCGGTATTAATAATAATTTTACCAACGTGTACAAATTTTGTTTCTTATTCGTTTATATTAGAAATTTTTATAAAATTTTGAAAATTTGTGAGATCTCAAAATTCGTGAAATCTTTGAAACTTAAAATGTTTTTTTTTCTTTTTTTTTTTAAAGAGCATCTATTTTATCAAATATTAAAATTTTTTAATTTTGATTTTTGTAATTTTTTAATTTGCGAAAAATTTAATTTTGTAATTTTTTATTTAAATTTTGATAGTTTTATGTTGCAAATGTTTCAAAGTTCAAGAATTTGAAATTTTTTGAATTTCGAACAGTTTTAAGTTTTCGATATTGTGAATGATTTATTCCTAGTTTATACAGTTACGTTTATTTCCCTATTTATACAGGATGTCCATCAATAACTGCACTTTGAAATAACTGTTAAACGATTGATGTCAAGGAAAAAAGTGTGAAAACATTTTTTTATCGTGTTTCATGTAGAATGTGATAATGAAAGGAAAATTTATTAGCCAAAATTTAAAAAAAAATTTTAGAATAGAGAAACTTAACTATAATATTCTTTTTATTTTTTAACTTAGAAAATATCTAAAAATAATTATATAAAATTAAACGAATAATTTTATAAGTTTCATAAGAAATATATTGTATAAATATATAAATCATATAATATAATATTTTAAATCTTAAGAAATTTATGAATTTTTTATAAATCAAGACAGAACGAAACAAATATAAATTCAGTATTAATATAACATAATGTAACTTTTGAGAGAAATAAATTATAAAATTAAAATGTTATGAATTTTAATGACATACAAATCTTAAATATATATAAATTTATTTAGTATTATTATCACTTTCCACATATAAATTTTATTCTATAATATTATTTTATTCTATAATATTATTATATTCTATAATATAATATATATAATCATAATAAATTCATAATAATATGTCAATCATTGTCAATATGTCAATTAATTCTAAATTTTATTTTTTTTTTAAATTTTAATATCAAATTAAGTGATTGAAATATATTTTATTTACTAAAAAATTTCAAATGTTTTACTATAAAATATATATAATATATCTGTCAACTTGTTATTTTATTGCCTGTGATTATATTAAAAATATAAATCAAAAACATAATATATTTCAAATTCTCATTAATCTTGCACTTATTGCTATTTTTTTGTTTTTCCATTAAATAATAAATATATAATATATAGTGATTTTTCATATTTTTAACCTGTCTATTATACACAGTTGTTTGTAAGAAATTTTATTGATATACTTTCATTTCTAGGCTATATACTTAATATTCAAAAAAATATATATATATTTTCTTATTTGTAACATTTTGAAATAATAATAATTATTTTACAATTATTCTAATCTCATTATCTTTGGTTTTTTAAATCAGAAAATAAATCAAATTAAAATTGAAATATATACAAGCAAAAACTTTTTGTTACGGCGAGTGCGAAAAACAATTTATTAAACAAAAAGATATCAATGAACGACAATGGCTATTATAAAGGATTGTTATAATCTTCATATTACGTTAGCTTTAATCACTTGAATTTTTATTTTATTTCAATTTTAATCATCTTAACTCTCTACAATGCCATCTTGCTTTGAAGTTATATATTTATATATTTATATTTTTTAAATTTTATTTAATTAAAATTTAATGTAGCAAATACTATTTTTTTGAAACCAATAATATATGTTATTTTTTACTTTAGAGTAAGATTTAGAGCAAAATTCGTTTTAATATTATTATTATTACTATTACTATATTATTTTTTTCTAAATAAAAAAAATTAAATTATAAAGAATTAATTTTTATTCATTTACTTTTTCATTATACTTTATTCATTTTAAATTTTCTCTTTCATGTAATATTTTTGCAAAATGATTTGCCATTTTTGAAACAGATAAGTTCATAAATTTCTTTAAATAAATGTCTTTAATAAATAAATAATTTCTTTTAATAAATTTTAGCGTAATTGTTTATTATTATATTTATGCAATTAAACTCGTAAAATAGATGTGATGAAGTAGTGAATTAACTTTCAAGATTTTGAATTTTAATGTATTTATGCAAATATTTAAAAAAAATTGTTTACTAAATAGCATCAACAAAATGAAAATACATAGAATGTAAATTTATGATGTAAATTAGAAAATAATGTTCGGAACAGTGAGTTTCAACTTGTCATTGTTTACCATTTTTAGTTTATTTTTGTAAAAAATTTTAAATTACAAAATTTAAAGTTTTTTTTTTACAAAATGTGATAAAAAGAAAAGTTTTATATTATGATAGATTATCGATTATCCAAATGATTTGAATTTAAATTATTCAATTAAAATATTCATATAAAATCGATTATCTGAATAAGGGATCAGGATAAGCCACGTATAAATGTATTTGATCTAACAAATAATGTTACGGCACGTACTTACTCTCGTATTTCAAGAAAATATTTAAAAATGACTAATTTATTTATCTAATGCATTTTTTTTATTAAATATCTTTTACATGATAAACATTTATATTTGAAAATCGTTTATTTTTATGATATGTTCATCTAATTCTTCTTGATCGATTATAAATATCATTTCTCGATCGAATTTTTCTTCCAATAAGTTTTGATAATTTTTATCCTTACATATTACATATTGCTCTTAACAATATGAGAAATCAATTATATTCTAGAAATTGCATTTTCAGTTTCGCAATAATCCATTTTGTTTAATTTCATAGTACGGCAAGCAACTGAGAGAAAACTACAGAGCCTTTAAGAATAAACAGTGCGAACAAACTGACAGCCCAAAGGATCGATACGTCAACTACAACGTACCCAACGTAAGTTTTGATTTTTTTTTCTAATCTCTTTTAATATCTCTTTCATAGAAAAAAACAAAAATTATTAACGAAGAAAAATAAAAAATTCTTTTCTTTCGCTCGTTTTCTTTTTGAGTCCACATGATAATATCACTTTCGATCGGTATCCTATCACGGCTGACCGCGGTGTCGCGATTCCATCTTCAATCGATGAAAAAAAGTGCAGCGAAAAAAGCGGGTGGGATAAAGAGGAGGAGGTAAGGCGTGACGAGGCGGACCGGAGGCGAGACGCTCGAGAAAACGAAGGAGGGAGAAGGCAGAGAGAGAGAGAGAGAGAGAGAGAGAGAGAGAG